AACACTGACTGTTTCTGCAGTTGTTAAATTCTCCGCATTGAGGTTTTAAAAACTGCGCATTCTGTGGCGTTTTCCACTGTAGATTTTTCCTCACCTGGTGCAAACGCAAAGTTTTTCCTTTTGGAATCTCCAGTTTTAGTGAGTCCCGAAAACGCTGGGTGAGGAGGAGAAAACTTCGGGTCTGCGCCTGGTGAGGAAAAATCAACTGCGGAAAATACCGGACAATTTTAAAAACGTCAATGGAAGGAATTTCACAACTGTGGAAATGGTGTCTTCTGGATCTTCACGGGATTCATGAGCATAGTGGTTAAGTGCGCGGACTCTAATCTGGGAGAACCAGGTTTGATTCCCCACTTCTCCACTTGCACCTGGCTGGATGACCTTGGGCAAGCCATAGTTCTGATAAGAGCTGTTCTTGAAAAAGAGCAGTTTCTGTCAAGAGCTCTCTCAGCCCCACCTACTTCACAGGGTGTCTGTTGTGGGGAGGGGAAGGGAAAGGAGTTTGTAAGCCGCTCTGAGACACCTTTGGGTAGTGAAGGGCGGGGTATAAATCCAACCTCTTCTCTTCTTCTTCTTTGGAATTATAGCTGCGCCATCCACGTTTTAATCCAGGTGATTGCAGGAAGAAGAGATTGGATTCACTTGGAGTCTCAGAGCGGCTTACAAACTCCTTTCCCTTCCCCTCCCCACAACATACACCCTGTGAGGTGAGTGGGGCTGAGAGAGCTCTGACACAAACTGCTCTTTTTCAAGGACAGCTGTGCCAGAGCTTGTGACTGACCCAAGGTCACATCAGCAGGTGCAAGTGGAGGAGTGGGGGATCAAACCTGGTTCTCCCAGATTAGAGTCTGCACACTTAACCACTACACCAAACTGACAAGTCTGGCTATGAGGGGAAACCTTTGTAGCCCCTGCTCCCTTGAAGGCTTCAGAACGATAGGACAACATCGCAGAAGGAAATCTGTGTTGTGCTTGCTTGCCGCTCACTCCCCGCCGAGATGCATATGTGTTTATGCAGTCCCACAGAAAATCACCTCTTCCGGGAAGAAAGTACACTAAGAAACCCCAAATAAGAAGGTTGCGTGCCTGTCCTGTACAAGAGTCTAAAAAAGAAACTTGCAGAAATTAGTAACGGTTGCAAATTTAGCATCCTGAGAATTTCCGCTCTCCCCACCCCCGAGAGGGCGTTTTTAGCCGTCATGAGACTATGAAGATACCTGTGTGGGGGGGAAACATGCGCGATGCATGGTAGAAGGGTTGCCAACTCTGGGTTGCGGGATTCCTGGAGGTTTGAGGGTGGAGCCTGGGGAGGGTGTGGTTTGGGGAGGGGAGGGGCCTCAGCTGTAGAGTCCAGCTTCCAGAGCAGCCGTTTCCTCCAGGGGATCTGATCTCCGCAGTCCCGGAATCAGTTGTGATTCCAGGGGATCTCGAGCTCCCATCTGGAGGCTGGCGATCCCAGGTAAAATGTCTAAAGCCGAACTAGGTTTCTCTATGTACCAGATATAAGAAGAAGAAGAGACTGGATTTATACCCTGCCCTTCACTACCCAAAGGAGTCTCAAAGCGGCTGACAAACTCCTTTCCCTTCCCCTCCCCACAACAGACACCCTGGGAGGTAGGCAGGGCTGAGAGAGCTCTGACAAGAGACTGCTGTTTTTCAAGAACAGCTCTGACAGAACTGTGGCTTGCCCTAGGTCATCCAACAGGTGCAAGTGGAGGAGTGGGGAATCAAACCCGGTTCTCCCAGATCAGAGTCCGCGCACTTAACCGCTACACCAAACCAGGGGTCATTTCCTGCGGGAGCACACAGGAGCGGAGCTCCAGCAGTAAGGAGCCCAGGGGGCGGGCACATGCAACAAGCCCCGCCCTCTGCTCCCAGCAGCCGTCAGTTTGGCCACGAGCAGCAAGACGCAGCCAGGTATGTTGCAGAGCCCGCCCCGCTCTCTCTCCTCTGTGAGGACAGATCTGCACGTCCCCCCCCCCAATAGCTAGCAATCCAAAACAGTTCAGTGGAGCCTGAGCGGTGGGTGTTGCCTTCTGACACATTTCCAGTGATGTCAGGGGGTGTGGCAAATGCAAGTCAGTTATGCTAATGAGCTATGCTAATGAGCTCCTCCACCTCTTTTTCTACGAAATGACCCCTGCTCCCAACTGGCTCTCCAGAGTGCAGGAAGAGCTTTGCTCTCCCCATGCAAGGGTCCCCAATACCCCGGCACCCTAAGGTACACAAGTAGGGCACAGGACATCCTTCCCTTTGGTATTATGGCTGCGCCATCCACATCTTAAATCCAGGCGATCAGCGCAGGTGGTAGGGTTGCCACACACCCCGGTTTGCCAGGGGTCCCCCGTTTTTTGGGGGGTCCTACCCGCCGCCGGCCAGATGGCCGCCGGGGGAAGCCCTGCCCCCAACACCCACAGCCAGCCCTCTCTCTCCCTTTAAGTGTGTTTCCTCCCAAGCCCAATCTCCACTTGAGATCAGCCTTGCAGGGAAATGCCAGCTTCGTGCTCTTAAAAGGGCAACGCGGCTGCTCTTAAAGGGGAAACGCCGGTTCCTGCATTTAAAAGGGAAACGCTGGCTCCTTTAAGTGCAGGGAACTGCCGTTTCTGGAGATCCGGCGCGCGGGCGGGCGACGGGGGGGCGGCGGATGTCCCCCAACGTGATGTCATCACGTCGGGGATGCCCCACCCCCTCCAGGAACGCTCCCAAAGTCCCCCGCTGGGGGTGGAAGATGGACTTGGCAACCCTAGCAGGCGGGGAGGAAACAGAAAGGAAGCAGCCCTCCGCCCCCCTCCCATTGTTTGCCCTTTGCCAAAGTGGTATTTTGAAGGTGGAGGTTCTGAACACGGAGGTTCCATTGTGCAACTCTGGCTGGTTGTGGATTTTTTTTTTAATTGAAGGCTAAAGGTCATGCCAGGTGCTGTTTTCTTCTCGCCACCTGAGCGGTTATATAAACCAATGGCATTTATGCCTCATGCAAGGCTTCTTATTAATGCCGGTGCTAACTGATGGAACACCTCGTTAATTCCCTGCTAATTAGAGGCTGCGGGAGCTGGAAGTGATCAAGAACTGGAGCAAGGTGGAAAGAAGGCTTAGTTCACGATGGCCTAACACTCTTCCTCCCCACTCCTGGGTTGACAAATGTTGGTTCTGTCCTCTTTCCCCTTCTTCCAAAAATGCACATAAGCCCCACCTGCAATCAGGGACACTGCATGGTGACGCTCCCAACGCGATGACGTCACGCGGAAGTTACATCATCACGTTGGGATGTCGTGCGGCGATGTTCTACGTCTGGGGCAAAACTCTATGGTTTTAGGGGGGGAAACCATAGAGTTTTGCCAAAAATGCAGAGTGTCACCGTGTGTCAAATTCGCTTTACATTTTATCGCTCGCTTGCCACAGAAGTCGGGAGGGGGATCAGCAGAGTGTAAATTAAACGGCGTTATTTAGTATGTGTGGAAGACTTTTGGTGTTGCCTCCAAGTGAGGTTATAGGTATAGTCACAGAGATATACTGACAGGATTGAAAAAAAGAGGACGTTCATTGTACAGTAACTGGGCCACACCGCCTGTAGCGCAAGCTGCGAATTAATATTGTTCTCTCTGTCAGGGGCAACATTTCTTCATTTTTAATATACCGGGAAAGAAAGAAAGAAAGAAAGAAAGAAAGAAAGAAAGAAAGAAAGAAAGAAAGAAAGAAAGAAAGAAAGAAAGAAAGAAAGAAAGAGGCCCAGGAAAGGACTGGGGAGACCCGTATTCCAGTCTTTGTTCAATCACAAAACACATTAGGCCTGTCACGCTCTTTCAGCCTAACCCTACCACACAGGGCTGTTGTAAGGATAAAATGGACGTGTGGATAACTGTCATGAGCTCCATGAAGGAAAGGCTGGATTAAAAAAATGTGGCAGATTACTAGCACATTTTAAGCAGCCATTTAAATTTGGAAAAAGTCAGAAAATCAACACAATTTTTGGTCTCTCCAGGGAAGAGACTTAAATTTAGCTGAGGATCTTGCTCTCAGCTTGGGTTACCATATTTTTAAAAGCAAAAAAGGAGGACATAGTTCCTGACTGACTACTTCAAACAAGCGGGCACGATGACAGATCTCATTTTAAGTTCCCCGACCTATTTAAGCGGCGATAATGGCTACTAACTAGGAATATACTTAACCTTTCAACCCCCAAAGAAGACGTTTTAATCAGTTTTTTTTTAAAAGAGCTCAAAAGAGGACCAGGCTCGTAGCTACGCTGGGGCATCTCAGGGCCGGGCCCCCTTACCGCCCAGGCCCCCCGACTCACCACCCAGCTGGTTCGTTTTATTTTTCTCATGGGTACATTTGCTCTCTACTCCAGCCCCCCCCCCCTCGTCGCTTTTTAAAACTTTTACTCTCTCTAATCTGGGAGAACCCGGTTGCAAGCTCTGGCACAGCTGTTCCTGAAAGAGCAGTTTCTGTCAGAGCTCTCAGCCCCACCCACCTCACAGGGTGTCTGTTGTGGGGAGGGGAAGGGAAAGGAGTTTGTAAGCTGCTCTGAGACTCCAAGTGAAGGGCGGGGTATAAATCCAATCTCTTCTTCTTCTTCTTCTTCTTCTTCTTCTTCTTCTTCTTCTTCTTCTTCTTCTTCTTCTTCTTCTTCTTCTTCTTCTTCTTCTTCTTCTTCTTCTTCTTCCTCCTTATCTAAACGCCCCCCCAAAGTAAAAAATCCTGGCTTTGGCCTTGAAGAGGACGGACACGCAAAAAAAGACATGTCCTCTAGAAAGAGGACACTTGATAACCCTATCTCAGCTCTTCCTTGCCAGCTGCGCTGATATCCAGTTCTTCCCCATGCTGGAATTTGCCAGTTGGTACAATGGGATTTAGGAAACTGACTTGCCTCATTATTATAATGATGGGTGATTGCTGCAAAGGTGACTGTCTCCGGAGGAAATCCTGGCACCCGCCCTGTGGCCTAAGGTGAGGGAGGGCTATATGATGTCGCTCAACAAGCCTCTCTCCTCCCCAGCTGTATGCCTGACCCCGCTGGGAAGAACAAGAAGGGGAAGAAGAAGATGTGGGAGCAGAAGAAGTCCCAGAGCTTGGAGGAACCGATTGGTGAGGGTCCCCGAAATGGGACCCATCCCCCCTTGTCACGGTGAGTCTCGGCACGGGGGGGTCAGACTAGGACACGGCTGGTTTGGGTTCGGATCCCCACTCTGCCACGAAGCTCATTCCGTGAGACTGAGTGAGTCAGTCTTTCACATCGTGACCTACCTCGCAGGGTGGTTGTGCATGCCGTGCCAGGAACTCTTTGGAGGAAGGGCGGGATGACAATGTGATGGAGGGAGCTGCCTAATAAAGGAAGGTTTCCCTCAGTGCCGGATTTAAAAAGCCAGATCTGAACGTTTTTTGAGCAAGCAGCCCAGTTTTGAAATGCCGTACGGAAACGTTTTTCTCTTCGCTTTCTCCTTCTAGATCCAGAACCTATGATCTTTCTTCCTCAAAAGAGGTAGAAAAGGAAACGGGCTCTTCACAGCGCAGAAACTCCATCTCTAATGTAAGTTAACAGGGTGTCAGACTCCCATCGCATCAACGAAGCACACACTTGTAGAAAAGGTTTTACTTTATTTGAAGCAATAGGTTTGATTTGATTTATTTGATTTTTATCCCGCCCTCCCGCCAAAGCGGCTCAGGGCGGCTTACAGCAATAAAAACAATAAAACAACACGTCTAAAACAGTCTATACAAAACATTAAAATCACAATTTACACACAGTATAACCTACTCAAGGTGGCGACTATAAAGTGCTACATACTGATTTGATTTGGTGCATAACAGGATCACTGTTCAGAATGAGGGATAAGCATGGAGCCCAATAGATTATAGTAGATTAAAAAAGCTGAGGCCCAATTGCAGGACTTCCCCCGCGCGCCATTGAGCCTGGGAAGCAACGCTTCTAGATAATCATAACACATTTACTTCTCATGGATAGTACCATGAGATCACCCTAGCTACTACCCACCAGCAGCCACCTGTGGCCTTGAGAGATACGGACGTTCCTGCAACTAGGCAATTAGGCGCATCAACATGCATACATGGGAAAGTGAAAGCAGACAAGCGCATACATAGAGAATAGGAAAACACATTGGCAGCTCGCTGACACAGGGGTGGGCAGGAGATATGAGTAGCGGCCTGTCCATCCACTGCACAAACCTTACCTAAGCAGTTGCTTCCAGGACAGAGATCCAGAGGTCATTTCGGGGGGGATCGCAGGGGAACGCAGTTCCCCCGGGTGAGGTACCGGGGGCGGGGCACATGACGAAGCCCTACCCCCTGCTTCTGGCCGCCCCACTTCCGGCCCTCATTCAGCCAGGAGGAGGCAGGAGAAGAGGGAGGGTAAGTTGCTTCCTCCCTGCCTCTCCCCACCCCTGCCTGCCTGGGGCCAGGGAGGGCTTTCGCAGTGGGGCTCGGCAGTGGAGCTGCAAGGCCGGCGGTGGCGGCCGGGACCGTTGTGGGCGGGGTGTGTGGCCTTATGACACATTTCCGTTTATGTCAGGGGGTGTGGCCTTATGACACACTTCCGGTGATGTCAGGGGGTGTGGCATATGCTAATGAGTTATGCTAATGAGTTCCCCTAGCTCTTTTTCTACGAAATGACCCCTGCAGAGATCCCCCCAAAAGGGTGTCCGTGGACACCTGTCAACACCCTTCCTGTTACCCGCCAAGTGTTTCCAGGAAGTGGGTGGGGCCGGGTAAGGCTTTTGCCCAGCAAGGCTTCCGATTGGCCATTGGAGATTTGATGGGCTGTGCAGATTTTTTAAAATGTTGCTTTGGCAGCAGCTGCCTCCACTGCACAAGGATCCTCCCTGTGTGATTGAAGTTAAGCTGCGGCAGCCATTTTGTGCCTGCCTCTGCCTCCTGCGGCAGCCATTTTGTTGCTGCGCCCATCATGCCATGTCAGAGTTCCAAATGTGCCCACAGTCTCCAAAAGGTTCCGGAGCCCTGTTCCAGAAAGTCCCCTTGGGTACAAGGAACCCGTCCCCTGGTACTTTGACTCTCTGCATGTGGAGAGAGGGAGTGTTGCCTAGTAGCTCAGACTGGGCTGTGAGTCGGGGGGTCCTCAGTTCATTTCTTACATCTGCTACGGACTAACTTGGATAGGTGTAGACCAGCCATGCTCGACATTCGGCTCCCGTTTGCAAAATAGGCAGGGGGAACAGATAATGTGTTTGGTGTCAGAAATGGCAGAGATATAAAGGTGGTAGAAATATAACTTCTGCATTATAAACTTCTGCATTATAAAGAGGGAATTGGATAAGCATGTGGAGCAGAGGTCCATCAGTGGCTCTTAGCCACAAGGTATAGATAGGAACTCTCGGTCTGGGGCAAGGGATGCTCTGTATTCTTGGTGCGGGGGGGGGGGCAACAGTGGGAGGGCTTCTAGTGTCCTGGCCCCACTGCTGGACCTCCTGGTGGCACCTGGTATTTTTGGCCACTGTGTGACAGAGTGTTGGACTGGATGGGCCATTGGCCTGATCCAACATTGGCTCCTCTGATGTTCTTATATCTGGGGCAGCTCTGTATTCTTGGTGCTTTGGGGGGGGCATCAGTGGGAGGGCTTCTAGTGTCCTGGCCTCACTGCTGGACCTCCTGGTGGCACCTGGTATTTTTGGCCACTGTGTGACAGAGTGTTGGACTGGATGGGCCATTGGCCTGATCCAACATTGGCTTCTCTGATGTTCTTATGTCTGGGGCAGTGATGCTCTGTATTCTTGGTGCTTGGGGTGGGCAACAGTGGGAGGGCTTCTAGTGTCCTGGCCCCACTGCTGGACCTCCTGATGGCACCTGGTATTTTTGGTCACTGTGTGACAGAGTGTTGGACTGGATGGGCCATTGGCCTGATCCAACACTGGCTTCTCTTATGTTCTTTTGTAAATCTAATCTGAAATTGACAACCCAGTCATTGATAAAAACCAAAGGGGAAATCTAACAGCCGCAGTCCACAATCGATCCTGTGAGCAGCCTGAGAATTTTGGCTGGCAGCGGATGCGAAACCAGAAGCAGAGCTCCAAATGTGCTTGGGGCTGTCCAGTGACACAACGGCAGGCCAGGTGAGGTAATCCGGTGTGGTGCAGTGGTTAAGAGCAGCAGCCTCTAATCTGGAGAACCAGAAACTCCAAAATGCACAGCAATCCTGAGAAAACAATATGCAGGATCCAGGTTTGCTTACAAGGAGATTTTAAGAATTCATCAGACTTAACAGAAATAGCAGGCTAACTTCCATCTACTGGGCCTTGAACACACAGCGAAGATGGCCCTACCCGAGACAAGACACATAGCTAAAACTAAATATTTTAGAAGAAGAAGAAGAAGAAGAAGAAGAAGAAGAGATTGGATTTCTACCCCGCCCTTCACTACCCAAAGGTGTCTCAGAGCGGCTTACAACCTCCTTTCCCTTCCCCCTCCCCACAGCAGCCACCCTGTGAGGTAAGCGGGGCGGAGAGAGCTCTGACAGAGACTGCTCTTTTTCACAAACAGCTGTGCCAGAACTATGGCTTGCCCAAGGTCATCCAGCAGGGGCGAGTGGAGGAGTGGGGAATCAAACCCGGTTCTCCCAGTTTAGAGTCCGCGCACTTAACCACTACACCAAACTGCCTCTTTTATATCCTAATTGCTGGCTACAAGTCAAGAATATCATCATCGAAGCTACATCCCTAAACACTGAGAAGAGCCAGCCCGTATCTTGCACCTGGTACCTGGTAGCTGAGAAAAACAAGTCAGCCTTCCTAGATAAGAAATCGGGAAAGTACTAACGGAAACAGGGAGAAATGTTCTCTTGGGAGCGGCCTGCCGGCCATCCTCCCAAGCAACTGGTGGCCAGGCACCCTCAAAAAGTAAAATGGAGTTACAGAGGCTATACATCAGTCCAGTCAAACTTTATAGTCTGCAGACAGCCTCAGTCTTGTCTCACCTCCAGCAGAGAGACCTGACGCTCCTCTCTCAAAGGCGATGGCTAACACATCTCTCCCCCCCCATCCTCTCTCACCAGCTGGTGAAGCATTCGGTGAACTTCCACCGGGCCTTTAAAGACCTTCCCGAAGAGGAGGAGCTCCTGGACAGTACGTGACTCCCCGTCCCTGACCCCCATCTTGCGATGTTCCTTCTCCGGATCTCCCCGCTATAACCCCTCCTTCCTCGGTCTCTCTTCTCCCGCAGCCTTCTCATGCGCCTGGCAGAGAGAGGCGCCCTATCATGGCCGCCTGTACGTTTCCCATGACCACGTCTGCTTCTACTGCAGCATGCTGAGGCGGGAAGTCAAGGTAGGAGTTCCCAGGCGGCAGAAGCCGGAAGGGGTTGGAAGGGGACGGGAAGAGGGCGGCGGCTTGCCGGGCTACCTGGGATGACTCAGAGCATCACTGTCAGCTATGCTGCCATGGGGGTGGGGAGGTTGGTTGTCTTCTAATTGCCTTTGCATTCCTTCTGTGCTTCTTTGCTGCTACAACCAGGGCTATTTTTGGGCAGGAAGGCACAGGAATGGTGTTCCGGCTGGCTCCTGAGTTGGCCACGCCCAGCAGGAACTCATTAGCATAATAGGCCACACCCAACAGCAGAAACTCATTCGGATTGGCTACATTAGGGGGTGTATGGCCTAACATACAAAGGAGTTCCTGCTACAAAAAAGCCCTGGGTTTGGACAACAAACAAGGTAAACAGAATAAGAAGGGAAAGGTGGGTGTGGCTGGATGAGTACACTACTGGTAACATGGGGGTGTGGCCTAATATGCTAATAGATTTCTACTGTTGGGTGTGGCCTATTATGCTAATGAGTTCCTGCTGGGCTTTTTCTACCAAAAAAGCCCTGGCTACAACGCTTATCTCTAAGTATTGCAGGTGGGGATGTTGGTGTCTGGTTTTCTTGGGAACCGTGAGAGAGTGTTTCGTTCCCAGCTTGAGCGCTAAATGGCCGAAGCTCTATCTCCCATGTGCGGGCGAGTGGCTCATTGGCCAGGGCAGTGGGGGGGGGGGGGGGCTACGGAATTATTATGCCCCATGGGCAGCCGTCATTCTTAACAGCGCCTATGTTAATGCATCTAGAGCTCTTCAATAAAGGATTACCTTTCCTGAAAGCGTGTACTACGTTGTTGGCTGTGGGTTCTGACATTCACCAGCCCTTGCAATTGGCTGGCAATATGGAGCAAGCTGAGTATGGATACCAGGGTTACCAGCCTCCGGGTGGGCCCTGTAGACATCCCAGAATTATAACTGGTTTCCAGACAACAGCGATCAGTTTCCCCTGGAGAAAATAGCTGCTTTGGAGGGTGGACTCCATTGCACTATACCTGGCTGATGTCTAGGGTTTCCAGTTCCCTACCTTTACCCATCAGGGGGCTCCAGGCTCTTCTCTGGGGTCTTCTAGTCACCATAGAGTTTTTGGCCGAACGCTAGAGCGTCCCTCCCCTGCAACGTGCCCAGCACAATGACATCACCTCCGGGTGACATCATTGCAGCGGGCACGTCGGGCGCTGTGGTGGTGTAGCGGTTAAGTGTGCAGACTCCAATCTGGGAGAACCGGGTTTGATTCCCCACTCCTCCACTTGCAGCTGCTGGATGACCTTGGGCAAGCTGTAGTTCTGATAAGAGCTGTTCTTGGAAAAGAGCAGTTTCTGTCAGAGTTCTCTCAGCCCCACCTACCTCACAGGGTGTCTGTTGTGGGGAGGGGAAGGGAAAGGAGTTTGTCAGCCGCTCTGAGACTCCTTTGGGTAGTGAAGGGCGGGGTATAAATCCATTTTCCTTCTTTTACCTCACAGGGGGTCTGTTGTGGGGAGGGGGAGGGAAAGGAGTTTGTCAGCCGCTCTGAGACTCCCTTGGGTAGTGAAGGGCGGAGTATAAATCCAATATCATCATCATCTTCTTCCTTTCCCTGGAGCAGGTCATCATTCCGGTGGCGACGGTCAGCGTCCTCAAGAAAGCCAACACGGCTCTGTTGGTACCCAACGCCATCAGCATCCGAACAGTTGAGGGGGAGAAGGTAAGAGTCTGCAAAGTGAGGCCGAAGGAGGAGAGGTCTTCTGGGGCATCTCTAGCGTCCTGAGAGTCTTTTGGACATTTAAAAATAGCCCTAAGCTGCTAGTCCTCAGTGTTATGTTTGAAAGTGTATAAGCAAACGAATGCCGTGGGACGAATGAACTGAGGTGGAGGGAGGGCGTGGCCAAGAGTGGTAGTATTTGTGGCCTTCAGAATCCTCTTCCAATAACCTTTAGTTTCTTTTTCATCATGTCTTCTTTTTGCCCTGGGACGGAAGGAGGGTACTGAAATTAGCAGTCTCAGAACTAAGCTGGTCTTGATGTGGGATTTGGCTTGCCTAGGCCAGAATGGTGGTTGTTTAATGTTATTTGTCTGTTATTTACTTGTTACTGAAATGTAAGTCTATATATGTGGAAACATGGCCATAAAGAGGAGTAGTTGCTGAGAAGAAGACGATGAGATTGGATTTATACCCTGCCCTTCGAGGCGGTGTGGCGGCACTGGTGTTGTTGGACTTGTCGGCAGCGTTGGATACTGTCGACCACCAGTTGCTGATCCATCGCCTCGCCGACCTAGGGATCCAGGGGCTCGCCCTTCAATGGTTTGCCTCTTTCCTGCAGGGCCGGGGACAAAGGGTGGTTCTCGGGGATCAGCGTTCCCGTAGGTATCCCCTTGAGTGTGGGGTACCACAGGGAGCAGTGCTGTCCCCGATGCTATTTAATATCTATATGCGCCCCCTTGCCCAGATTATCCGGAGTTATGGGCTGGGGTGTCATCAGTATGCTGATGACGCCCAGCTCTATCTGATGTTGGGCGGCCGGTCGGACTCGGGTCCCGATGACCTGCATCGGGCACTTGAAGCTGTGGCTGGTTGGCTCCGGCTGAGCCGATTGAAACTAAACCCGGCGAAGACGGAGGTCCTGGGCCTGAGTCGGGCCGGGACAGGATTGGGGCTCCCTCTCCCGACCTTCGATGGTGTACCTCTGGTGCCAGCGTCTGGGGTTCGGAGTCTGGGAGTGCACCTGGACTCTGCTCTAACAATGGAGGCCCAGGTGGCAGCCACTGTCAAGTCCGCCTTTTTCCATCTGCGGCGGGCTCGGCAGTTGGCCCCCTACCTGGACCGAGATGACCTGGCCACAGTGATCCATGCGACGGTCACCTCGAGGCTAGACCACTGCAACGCTCTTTTCGGTAGCGGCCCCTACCTGGTGGAACGAGCTCCCAGGGGAGATCCGGGCCCTGCAGGATCTGATGCAGTTCCACAGGGCCTACAAGACGGAGCGCTTCCACCAGGCTTCCAAGTAGGGGCCGCTGCCCCCCCCATTATGTTACTATCCTGGGGTGGTGGTGGAAGAGGCCCTCAGAAGAGCCCTGAGAAGGATTATTGGAACATCTGAACAGTGACACTATAGACTGTCTGCCAAGAATTGTTTTGGAATTGTCCCGCCATCTTGGGTTTGGAGTTTTGATTATCACTGAGCACTTTATGTGATTTAGGACTGGTTTTTAAACTGTATAGTATGTTTTTAAATTGTAGGTATATTGTGTTGTTGTATTGTTGTTTTATTGTAGCAAGTTTATCTTGCCTTGTAAGCCGCCCTGAGCCCTACAGGGGAGGGCAAGGTATAAATTTAAATAATAAATAAATAAATAATAAATACCCAAAGGAGTCTCAGAGCAGCTTACAATCTCCTTTCCCTTCCCCTCCCCACAACAGACACCCTGGCTGAGCAATGCTTCCTCTAAGCTGTGGTATCTTGTGTGCAAAAATTCTACTTTGTGAGCTACTGGCATTAAAGTTGTGAGCGAGCGATGTGGCTGCTGCATCAGTTAGTTTGCTCTGGAGCCATCCCTTCCTGGGCGAAGACAAAAATGTGTCAGCCAGAGGCTAAAAAACTGTGAGCTAGCTCGCACTAACTCAGCTTAGAGGGAACACTGCCTGTGGGGTAGGTGGGGCTGAGAGAGCTCTTTTGAGAACTGCTCTGAAAGAACTTGTGACTGACCCAAGGTCACACCAGCAGCTGCATTGTGGAGGAGTGGGAAATCAAACCCGGTTCTCCCAGATTACAGTCTGCACTCCTAACCACTCTCACCAAACTGGCTCTCACGTCTGACTCCCTGCATTCCTCCTTGACCCTTCTGGTTTCCCTAACGAGCCGGATAAGCGGTCTTTACCTCATGCAAATAGGTCTGAGATGAGAATTCGGACTGATGTAACAGCTTCTGACGTCACTCAGCTGCTGACAGAACCGTGAAAGCCAGAATGTTCTTTGAGGAGCTAATACAGAAGAATGAGGAACTGTGCTCGCTACTTGCCCAAACACAGCCTCCAGACCCTCCGTTCCTTCCCTTGGGTTTCTGACAAGACAGGCCTGAGAAGTGATTGTGTAAAATCTGGGAATCTTTGGGCTTGCTTCTACCAGGAAGGAACACGATGGCGTCCCCTGCTCTCGCACACACAGGTTGTTGATTCAGCAAAGGGGAGGGGGCTGCAACTCAGTGGGTAAAGCATCCGCTTTGCAGGCGGCGTGGCCCAGTTTTGGTCATCCCTGGTTAAAAGGATTGCGTAGGAGGTTATATGCAAGACCTCCACCCTTGGAGAGCCGCTGCCTGTCAGAGGAGACGACACCTTGATAGACGGGTGCTCGGACGCAGTATAAGGTAGTGTTTGTGTGAAAAGTACGCAGACGGAGAGTGATTTCAGCAAAGCGTACTTTATTCGATCAGGAACAAGACGACTTTGGCTGGCTCGCAGGCCGGCTAATATTCCCCGAGAAACTGCCACCCAAAACACACACACCCCACTTCCCAATAGTTTATTTACAGTGGCCGAGAGTCCCATAGGCTCTCGGCCGGGAACCTAGCCCCCTGATTGCAGCGGGCTAGGATCCGCATAGTCCATTGTCTCTTGGAGCGAAGCTCGACGTTTGTGCCTGACCGCGTGGAGCCCAAGCCGGCCACGCGGTCTGGACTGGATACATTACATTGTGTGTTCTATCGATTGGGCTCAGGGTGTTGTCTCTAAGCTGTGGAGTCTTGTGAGCAAACATTCTACTTTGTGAGCTACTGACATTAAAGCTGTGAGCGAGCGATTGGGCTGCTGCATAGATTAGTTTGCTCTGGAGCCCTCCTTCCTGAGCGGAGACAAAAAATGTGTGAGCCGGAGGCTAAAAAGCTGTGAACTAGGCTCACACTAACTCAGCTTAGAGGGAACACTGTTTTGTAGGATCCAGGTGGGCGGCCGTGTTGGTCTGAAGCAATTGAGCAAAGTTAGAGTCCAGCGGCACCTTTAAGACCAACGAAGTTTTATTCAAGGCGTGAGCTTTCGTGCGCACGCACACTTCATCGGACAATGAAATGGAATAACAGATCATACTTTGTATACATACAGGGTGGCTTGTTAAATCAGCGTGCACAATAGTGAAGATGTTTATTAACAGAGCAAAAGAATGACAAGCTCAGTTTCTGGTTATCATCTGTTTGGGTTCAGCTGGGGGGGAAATACAACATAGGTGATAAATATGTCAGAACTGGAGACTTTTGTTGTTGATGTTCAGTCGCACAGTCGAGTCCGACTCTTCGCGACCCCATGGACCAGATCACGCCAGGCCCTCTGGTCTTCCGCAGTCCTCTGAAGTTTGCTCAACTTCATGTTCGTTGCATCGATGACACTGTCTAACCATCTCATCCTTTGCCGTCCCCGTCTTCTTTGACCTTCAATCTTTCCCAGCATCAGGGTCTTCTCCAGTGAGTGCTCCCTTCTCATTGGGTGGCCAGAGACTGATGTGCCCTAATTTGTGAGAATCCTGTCCTTAGACCCCCCTATCCATCTCCTTTCTAGCATGGAGGCAAAACTTTACAGCATCTTGGCTGCGTAGAGTATTTTCCTTGTCCCCAAAACAGAGAATTACATTTAAATCTACCATTCCAAATTACATTACATATTCAATCATATTCTTAATCCCCCCCCAGGTTGAACCCAAACATGATAACCAGAAACCGACCTTGGATAAAATAAAATGTAAAGGTTCCCTTGCTCGAAGGCCAGTCGAGTCCGACTCTAGGGTTGTGGTGCTCATCTCCGTTTCAAAGCCGAAGAGCCAGCGCTGTCCGAAGACGTTTCCGTGGTCAAGTGGCCGGCATGACTAAACACCAAGGCGCACAGAACGCTGTTCCCTTCCCACCAAAGCGGTACCTATTTATCTGCTTGCAATTTCTCGCTTTCGAACTGCTAGGTTGGCAGGAGCTGGAACTAGAGACGGGAGCTCACTCCGTCATGCGGCACACTCGGGTCTCGAACTGCTGAACTACCGACCTTCCACAGCCTGCAGTTCAGCGTCTTAACCACTTGAGCCACCGCAGCTCCCTTGGATAAAGTACAGTGATGTAATTTTTCTTCCTTTTTGGTTCATAGTTCGTGTTTGGATCATTGCGATCACGAGAAACCGCTTACCAGCTGCTGCGTTCTGTCTGTAAACACCTGCAGGTAACTGTCCTGGTTTGGCTGACCTCTTTGCCCGTATCCTCCTCCCCTGGACACCAGGATGTTGTGGCTTGTGGGGCAAATATTTTCCCGGTGGGGCTGAAGTTCTCAGTGTAGAAAGAAAAGCCAGAATTCAGAGGATTATGCCTCAGCCACTGTTCTCTCTCTGAGTCTTCTCAAGCTGTCTATTCTACATAGGTGTCATTATTGGGGCTCTTTTTGTAGCAGGGACTCCTTTGCATATTAGGCGACACACCCCTAATGTAGCCAATCCTCCAAGAGCTCACAGAGCTCTTCTTACAGGGGCTACTGTAAGTTCTTGGAGGATTGGCTACATGAGGGGCGTGTCGCCTAATATGCAAAGGAGCTCCTGCTACAAAAAGAGCCCTCACACACCCCTAATGTAGCCAATCCTCCAAGAGCTTACAGAGCTCTTCTTACAGGAGCTACTGTAAGCTCTTGGAGGATTGGCTACATTAGGGGTGTGTCGCTTAATATGCAAATGAGTACCTGCTACAAAAAGAGCCGGGGCGGCGGGAGTCGATTATGCCCTTAGCCGGTTAACTGTTTAGCCAGAAGAAAGCTGTTACCAGGGTAGCTCTCTAAACTGCAAGCTGTCAACCACTTTATTTTTTATGCAACAATTTTTATTAAATTTCTAACGAAAAAGACAAACAGAACCACAAATTACAAAGTACAGAGACCGGGTTCCGTCTCACAATCATTCACCTTATTTAGAATTTCTTCTCCTATTTCTTTGCACCTAACAAATCTTGAATAAGTTAATCCTATTGTTTTATTATAATCAGTTTTTAATAAAGTTCTCAATCCACTTGTGAAATCTCGACCATGCATCTTTAAAGATGTTATCTCTTCTTCCTTGTAGTGATAGAGTTAATTTGTCCATTTCAGCTGTTTCCATTCATTTGTGGATCATATCTTCCTTTGATGGGGTATCTTCTTTTCCCCACATACTGGCATATAAAATTCTGGCTGCAGTCAAACACTTTAGATGACGGTTCTCAGCTGCTGCAAGTTAATCACTTCTGCCAGCCTAAGCAGCAACAATCCTGATAACAAGCCGGCAGGTGGGAGTGATGACTTCTACAGTCAAGAAAGCGAAGACTTAGGCAGCAAAACTCTTGTAAAGGAGACCCGTTTTTTAACACAGTGTTAGAAGGGATCCTAGAGGTCACCTACTCCAACCCCCTTGGTCAGTGCGGGAATTAGTCATCTACAGCACCCCACTCTGCTTAAAGGGGTGCTCACCTTTTTAAAAAAATGTTTTTTAAAAAAGCATTTACAGGAGAAATCCTTGTGGGGCTGTGCCTTTAAGAAAAGGGGCAGAGCCCCCCCCCAAAAGCCCCACCTTAGCTACAGGCCTGGCCAAGGCCATATATCAGCACCTCTGCCCTGCAGCGTTCTCCTCGGGGTCCGAGGAACTAACATCTCCTCTCTTCCCCTTTCTCTAAGGATGGCAGCCGTAACCCCAGTCCGACGGCGTCTCACAACAGCCCTGAACATCTCCTTAAGATATCTCTGGTAAGAGGCAGTATGTGTGTGCTGGGCCTGGCGCCGTGAATTCCATAACTGGGAATCAAGCAAGAGTAAATCTCGTGCTTTGTATGAAGGCGTCTGGGCATGAGAGAGACTGGCAGTGGCTTTTTGGCATATTTCCAGTGCCTGCTATTAGCGACGCCGGGGACTGAAGCGGCCACCTTCTGCATGCATGGGAGGTGGCCTGCTGTTGAGCTGCAGTTCCTCTGGGGCCACCACGTTTGAGGTCCTGCACAGTTCTGGTCGCTCCCTCTGAAAAAGGAGATCACACAGCTGGAAACGGTGCAGAAAGGAGGAACATAAATGAAGAAACCCTTAAGAGCTTCAGACTTTGATGTTCAGCAAGAAGAGGAAGAGGAGGACGAAGAAGAAGAGGAGGAGGAGGAGGAGATTGGATTTATACCCCGCCCTTCACTACCCAAAGGAGTTTCAGAACAGTTTACAATCTCCTTTCCCTTCCCCGCCCCACAACTGCCACCCTGTGAGGTAGGTGGGGCTGAGGGAGCTCGTGAGACAACCGCTCTGTGAGAACTTGTGACTGACCCAAGGTCACACCAGCAGCTGCATGGGGAGAAGTGGGGGATCAGACCTGGTTCTTCCAGATTAGAGTCCACGCTCCTAACCGCCACACCAAACTGGCTCTGATTTGGATGGAATATGACAGACGCTTCTAAAATTGTTGCTGGTCAGGAGAAGTGCATTTATTTAATTCATTTGAACCCTGCCTTTCCCCTCAATGGGAACCCAAAAGCGGCTCATGTTGCTCTCCTCTCCTCCATTTTATACTCACAGCAGCCCTGTGAGGTAGGTTAGGCTGAGAGAGTGTGACTGGCTCAATGTCATCCGGTGAGCTTCCATGGCACAAGTGGTGATTTGGGCGTGGCTCTCCTTGATACTAGTCCGACTCTCTTAACCAGAGAAAGAAAGAGAGAGACCAAGAACCAGGACAATGGGTCACACTCTTCAGGACAAGTTATTTAATTTATATTCAGAACTGAACCTGAAATCTCCTTGTGTTCTACTACTGGGGTTACCAGGTCTTACTTTCCCGCGGCAGGGGGCTCCTGGCTCCACATCAGGATATTTCTGCCCTGCACACAAAACATGTGCAGTGTGTTGACATCACCAGTAGTGACATAATCATGCTGAGGCTGTCACACAGCAACGCTGTAGCGTTCGGGCCAAAAACTCTATGGTAACCATAGAGTGCGCCCCCCCCCCCCCGAATGCTAGAGCGTCACCATGCGATGGCCCCAGTGTGATGATGTCTCTACTGGTGACGTCATCACATTGGTGGTGTCCCCATGGGACGCTGCTGTTTGGGGGTGGGGCTTCCCTGCCAGCCAGAAGGCCCGCCATGGATTGGGGTCCCCAAAATTGGGGGATTCCCCTGCCCTGACCAGGGGGGTGCGCTCGTAATACAGAACAATGTGGGTGAGTATAAACATATAATATTGTGATCAACAATTCTAATACATATTTCCTTCTACGTATACAGACGAAAGAGAAGTCCTCAACAGAACAGGATGGCGAAATTCTCCAGAGTAAACTTCCATTTTGTAGAAAAACGTCTGAAAATATCCTTAATAAAATACAATACATAACATTTTAACTACTATATATGCAACAATTACAAAACCCAGGCAAAATACACTTAATGCTTAATAAAATATTATACATACAAGGGTGTCTCTCCTTATTTCATAGACTGCAATCTTTTCCATACAGAATAATGTACAAAGTCTAAAAGGAAGAGGAATAAAGATAATGTACTCACAATATGATATCGATTTTACAACTTATACACATTCATAAATTAACAATTTGGGGGGAAGCTCTTACCCTAATCCATTGTGCATATACCCCCAAGAGCACTTCGGTCCGGGGCACAACATCGCCTGGTGGTTCCAGGCCCCCGGGAGGCAAGGCTCACCATGACTAGGACCAGATCCTTTTCAGTGGTGGCCCCTACCTGGTGGAACGAGCTCCTGGAGGAGATCAGGGCCCTGCGGGACCTTATGCAGTTCCGCAGGGCCTGTAAGACGGAGCTCTTCCGCCAGGCTTTCACATAGGGGCCACCACTACCACCGCCACCAATGAGGTGGACAACATCGGGGTTAAGGATGGCCCAGGAAGATCTACCACAATTTCTGCGTGGCCACTGGATTTACCTGGTTGAGCTATAGGATAACATCACCCTGGAGAACCATCTGGAGACCATCTTGTTAAATTGAGTATAATTTTATTAACCGTCATGAATGTTTTATTGCTTTTATCTGTTTTATATGGGCTTTGCCCCTTGTAAGCCGCCCTGAGCCCGCTCTGCGGGGAGGGCAGGGTATAAATCTAAATAAATAAATAAATAAATAAATAAATAAATAAATAAAATTGTGCATGGTAATTCTTACAAAAGCAGGCAATATGTTAGTTTTAGAACATTAATGGTTCATGTACCTTTAAATGTGGGACTGAAATTGACAGTCTTTAGAGGCTTTAGTGGATGCACCTGTTAAGGCGTTTGCCCGCTTTTGTAAGAATTACCACACACAGTGGATTAGGGTAAGATCTTTCTCCCAAATTGTTAATTTATGAATGTGTATAAGTTGTAAAATTTATATCATATTGTGAGTACATTATTCCTCTTCCTTTTAAACTTTGCAATGGGCAGTCTATGAAATAAGGAGAGACACTTTTGTATGTATAATATTTTATTAAGCATTAAGTGTATTGAAAAGCACTGAGACTGAGGCATCATTGAGTGATTTTCGGCTCATACTTTACTAAGTGATTTCAGAAGATAGAAGATACGAAGCAAGCCCACGGGCGGCTTAAATGCACAACAACAACTCCACCACCACCCCCGTGATTGGCTATTTACATAATCGTACATCTGATAGGGTTCCTTTTGGCTGTTACTACGATCCTAGGTGCCCATTGTCTCTGAGATCGAAGGTCTGGTTTACCTAGCTGACCGCGAGTGCAGAGCAACCGTGTGCGCGGCCTAAGTTGGTTGTTGTTCAGTCGCACAGTCGAGTCCGACTCTTCGCGACCCCATGAACCAGATCACGCCAGGCCTTCCTGTCTTCCGCCGTCCTCTGAAGTTTGCTCAACTTCATGTTCGTTGCATCGATGACACTGTCTAACCATCTCATCCTTTGCCGTCCCCGTCTTCTTTGACCTTCAATCTTTCCCAGCATCAGGGTCTTCTCCAGTGAGGGCTCCCTTCTCATTTGGTGGCCAAAGTCTTTGAGCTTCAGTTTCATTATCTGGCCTTCCAGGGAACAGTCAGGGTTGATTTCTTTTAGGACTGATTGGTTTGATCTTCTTGCAGTCCAAGGGACTCTATTTTGCCTGGGTTTTGTAATTGTTGCATATGCAGTAGTTAAAAATGTTATGTACTGTATTTTATTAAGGATATTTTCAGAAGAAGTTTTTCTACGAAACGGGAGTTTACTCCGGAGAATCTCGTTCTGTTGAGGACTTCTCTTTCGTCTGGATGCCTAGAAGGAAATATGTATTAGAACGGTTGATCGCCTTAATATTATATGTTTATACTCGCCCACATTGTTATGTATTACAAGCGCCTTTGGGTCCTTGGTGGATTAGCTCCTTTGACTGTGTCCTTCTTGGTGTTTGCTGACCCGGGAGATGGCAACCCCATCTACTGCTGAGGTTTGTCTCTGCTCCACACTCGTCCATGTCAGACTATTGGCCCATCTCTTGCTTAATTGGCTGGCAGTACCTTTTCAGGTGGAGCTGCGGTGGCTCAAGTGGTTAAGACGCTGAACTGCAGGCTGTGGAAGGTCGGTAGTTCAGCAGTTCAAGACCCGGGTGCCGCATGACGGAGTGAGCTCCCGTCTCTAGTTCCAGCTCCTGCCAACCTAGCAGTTCGAAAGCAAGAAATTGCAAGTAGATAAATAGGTACCACTTCGGTGGGAAGGTAACAGTGTTCCGTGTGCCTTGGTGTTTAGTCATGCCAGCTACATGACCACGGAAACATCTTCGGACAGCGCTGGCTCTTCGGCTTGGAAACGGAGACGAGCACCGCAACCCTAGAGTCGGATTCGACAGGCTTTCGAGCAAGAGAAACCTTTACCTTTACCTGACCTTTTCAGGTGTCAGGAAGGGGGCTTTCCAATATATGGTAGATGAGATCCTTTTAATAGAAGATGCTGGGGGGGGGGGTTAAACCTGGAGCCTTCTACTTGGTGGTTAGCTCTGGGCCCCTCTCCTGTTTATTATTTCGCATGCAGTCCCCTGTTCCTCCTTGTCCCAGAAGGGATGGGTGACCCCCACCCCACCCGCTGGAGCCCCGCCTACCTTACAAGGTGCTTGTTCTGGGGGGGTGGGAGAAGGAGGCGGCGGAGGTAATTGGATTTATACCCCGCCCTTCACTTGGAGACTCAGACTGGCTTCCAATCTCCTTCCCTTCCTCTCTCCACAGCAGACACCCGGTGAGGTAGGTGGGGCTGAGAGAGCTCTGAGAGAACTGCCCTTGAGAGAACTGTAGCTTGTCGAAGGTCACCCACCAGCTGCAAGTGGAGGAGTGGGGAATCCAACCTGGTTCTCCCAGATTAGAGTCCGCGCTCCTAACCACCACATCAAACTGGAGAGGAAGGGAAAGTGATTGTAAGCCACTTTGAGACTCCTTAAGGTAGAGAAACGTGGGGTATAAGAACCAACTCTTCAACTTCACTACAAAACGTATAACTCTGTTATGTGGGGATGAGTCCATCCTCCTCCCAATTTTGCAGTTGAAACCAAAGAAGAGTACATCGCGATCATACATTTCTCCATTTGTTCATCCCCTTACTTTGGATTTTCATATGAAAACTCCTCTGGAGATTGGTTGGGAGCCATCTTGGGTGACAGCATTGGTGCTAGCCAGTCAGCACCTATGGAGCCAACTTCTACTTGAATTCTGTAGCACCAAGGTGTCCCCCCTCCCCCCCCCAAGATCTTTTCCCGGAGATGAAAACCTTTGGGACTGAACAGAGCAAGGGCACTTGTGGATCAAATCCACTGCCTAACAGACGTCACCATGTTTTCACCCTTACTGTTTTTAACTCATAGACATCAAGACAGCTGGACCACAACCCGGCAGAAGACGAAATCCTTCTGGAGGAATCTGGTGAGAGATGCTTGCGCTGTGCATGTTGTTTGGCTGCACATTTTCCACATTTAGCCCCCTCCCTCTGCTTGCCCGCAGATGCCAAAAGCCAAGAGTGCCGTGCTCTTTCTTCTAGGACTGTAAAGAACCTATCGCTAACAGTGCCCTAGTAATAATCCAGACTGGAATCTTGGCATGCATTTAGGACTGCCAGGTCTGGGTTGGAAAATACTTGGAGCCAGGAGAGGGTGGGGTTTGGAGAGGGGAGGGGCCTCAGCCTGGTACCATGCCATAGAATCCACCCTTCAAACCTGCCATTTTCTCCAGGGGAGCTGATCTCTGTCAGCTGGAGATCCGTTGTAAAAGTGGGAGATCTCCAGGCCCCACCTGGAGGCTGGCAACCCTATGTGCACTCTACGCAGTGTGTAGTGTCGAAGCTACAATTAGCCTAAAATGCAATAGCGTGTTTGTGGAATGGACTGGCAGCCTTGATTTGCATCTCAGCCCAGTTCAAAGTGGTGGTATTAATGGACCAGTTTCTGGTGTGAAGATTCTTTTAATCTTCCTCTGATATCTGCCTTCCTACCTTCCCACACTAACACCTGGGGCCTGTCCAGGCATCCTCCCACTGAGTGCAACAAGGTCAGGATGAATGGCAGGGCCTTTTTGGCAGTGGCCCCATGATTACCCAGCACTCTTCCAGCGGAGATTATCCTGTCCATTATCCTGCTGTTCATCTGGGCTCCTTTACGATGTAAGTTTAAATAGGACTGCCAGCCCAAGGTTGAGAAATTCCTGGAGATTGTGGGGTAGAGATTGGGGAGGGCAGGGCTTGGGAGTGGGGAGGACCTCAGCAGAGTATAATGCCGTAGACTCTACCCTCCATAGCAGCTGTTTTCTCCAGGGAGAACTGACCTCTGTAGTCTGGAGATGAGGCATAATTCTCTGGGAGATCTCCAGGCCCCATCTGGGGAGGCTAGTAACAAATAAATATACACTGCAAAAACCTTTTAGCAAACTAATGTGTTCTATTTATGGTCATCATTTAGTAAAGTGCATAGTGTATCATTATTTCATCCTAGTCAGGTATAAATATTCATTACATTCAATAAGCAATAACATTCAATACATACAGATTGATAACTACCAGACAATTTTGCATCAGTGTCTTAAATGTCAAGCCCCAACGGGAGTTTCTAGAATTATAAGCCCAGCTGCAGCTGCAGCTTTGAGAATGACAGGAGTACTCCGTCCATGAATGTTAGCTGCATAATGTGTCTTTTGTAGGACCGGCAAAAAACATCCATACAAGAAGGCTGTCCCCCTTTTTGGAAGACTTCATGCAAGGAGAAGTGGGCTTATAATTCTAGAAACTCCCGTTGGGGCTTGACTTTTAAAACACTGATGCAAAATTGTCTGGTAGTTATCAATCTGTATGTATTGAATGTGATTGCTTATTGAATGTAATGAATATTTATACCTGACTAGGATGAAATAATGATACACTATGCACTTTACTAAATGATGACCATAAATAGAACACATTAGTTTGCTAAAAGGTTTTTGCAGTGTATATTTATTTGTTACTAGACCCATCTGGAGACCGGCAACCAGTGTTCCCTCTAAACTGAGTTAGTGTGAGCTAGCTCACAGTTTTTTAGCCTCCGGCTCACACATTTTTGTCTCAGCTCAGGAAGGATGGCTCTAGAGCAAACTAATTTCTGCAGTAGCCAAATCGCTCGCTCACAACTTTAATGTCAGTAGCTCACAAAGTAGAATTTTTGCTCACAGGACTCCACAGCTTAGAGGGAACATGTTTCTAGTCTCTTATGCAACTGGTTAGTTTAAATAGACACATGATGGTGGTGTGATACATTTTTGTAAATGTTGCAATAGCGGCTGTGGAACCAGCCTTTGAATGTCTGGATAAATAAAGCCTGGCTCCTTCTGCATGCCAGCGTACCATTCAGGATGCATGGCGAAAGAGGGTCACAAGGCAGTGGGTAGGCGTTGGGAGCCTGGCCCGCAATCAACCCAGACATTAACCTCTCAGTGGCGTGGAGCACATTCAAAGCATGAGTAGCTGGAAGTGCAGCTAGAAGTGCCAGTTTGGTGTAGTGGTTGGGAGCGCGGGCTCTAATCTGGGAGAACCGGGTTTGATTCCCCACTCCTCCCACATGCAGCTGCTGTTGTGACCTTGGGTCAGTCACAAGTTCTCTCAGAGCTGTTCTCTCAAGGGCAGTCCTCGAAAGAGCTCTCTCAGCCCCACCTACCTCACAATGGTGTCTGTTGCGGGGAGGGGAAGGGAAGAGTTTGTAAGCCGCTCTGAGACTCCCTTGGGTAGTGAAGGGCAGGGTTTAAATCCAGTCTCCTCCTCCTCCTCCTCCTCTTCTCCTTCCCAACCCATGCCATGTGGCTGCTTTCACACCATGGACTTCCTACATTTCAGTCCCCTGAAATGGGTGGGGAGGGGATTGTTGGAGGTGTTTGCAAATACATGGAGTTTTACAAAATGTTTTAAACGGTATTGCACTACTTCTATGCAGCGCTACCTATCTTCCCAAAAGAATTAAATTAAAACAGGGTGCGTAGAGAATCCTCAGGGTCCTGTGACAACTTTGGCGGGGATGGGGTGGGGTGGGGGGCGTGAATGTCCATCAGGTGTGAAAGGGAAACCGTGGCTAAAAAAAACTGAGGGCGATTGTGCCTCTGGCATTCGCTCCACATTTTTCTCCACTGGGAGGGGAAAGTGCGGCTCAAAACCATACTCAGATACCCCAGGACAACGCCCCGTACTGACTGCAAAATCACCCCTGAACAGCCATAAATCTATGCAGAAGGTACCATAAAATCCGATGATCAAAGGAAGTGAAAGCAGCATGGAGTGTGCAGTGTTCCCTCTAAGCTGAGTTAGTGTGAGCTAGCTCAGTTTTTTAGCTCACACATTTTTGTCTTCGCTCAGGAAGGATGGTTCCAGAGCAAACTGATTTATGCAGTGAAGTGGCTAAATTTGCGGATGATACGAAGTTGTTCAGGGTGGTGAAAACCAGTGAGGATTGTGAGGCACTCCGAAGGGATCTGTCAAGGATGGGCAAGTGGGCATCAACATGGCAAATGGGGTTCAATATGGCCAAGTGCAAGGTGATGCACATTGGAGCCAAAAATCCTAAATATAAATACACGTTGATGGGGTCTGAACTGGCAGAGACTGATCAAGAGAGAGATCTTGGAGTTGTAGTAGATAACTCACTGAAAATGTCGAGACAGTGTGTGACTGCAATAAAGAAGGCCAATGCTATGCTGGGGATTATTAGGAAGGGTATTTAAAACAGATCAGCCAATATCATAATGCCCCTATATAAATCAATGGTGCGACCTCATTTGGAATACTGTGTGCAGTTCTGGTCACCACACCTTAAAAAGGATATTATAGCTTTGGAAAAAGTGCAGAAAAGGGCAACTCGACTGATAAAAGGGTTGGAACACTTTCCCTATGAGGAAAGGTTAAGGCGCTTAGGGCTCTTTAGCTTGGAGAAACGACGACTGAGGGGTGACATGATTGAGGTTTATAAGATTATGCATGGGAAAGAGCAGGTAGAGAAAGAGGTACTTTTCTCCCTTTCTCACAATACAAGAACCCGTGGGCACTCCATGAAATTGCTGAGCGGTCGGGTTAGAACAGATAAAAGGAAGGACTTCTTCACCCAAAGAGTGATTAACACATGGAATTCACTGCCACAGGAAGTGGTGGCGGCTACAAGCATGGACGGCTTCAAAAGGGAATTAGATAAGCATATGGAGCAGAGGTCCATCAGTGGCTATTAGCCACAAGGTATAGATAGGGACTCTGGGGCAAGTGATGCTCTGTCATCTTGGTGCTTGGGGGGGTCAACAGTGGGATGGCTTCTAATGTCCTGGCCCCACTGCTGGACCTCCTGATGGCACTGGTATTTCTGGCCACTGTGTGATACAGAGTGTTGGACTGGATGGGCCTTTGGCCTGATCCAACATTGGCATCTCTTCTTATGTTCTTATGTTCTTATGCAGTAGCCAAATGACTCACTCACAACTTTAATGCCGGTCGCTCACAAAGTAGAATGTTTGCTCACAAGACTCCACAGCTTAGAGAGAACATTGGTGGAGGGTACCATGATATCCGATGATCGAAGAAAGCAAACGCAGCATGCAATGCAGAGGGGAATTTCTGTTCCAACGTGGTCTCCTAAAACAATTGAGGGGAAAGCCAGTGCAGAATCAGCCTGAGAGAAAAGGGATTACCCTGAACCGTCTGCAGTCTCTGTTGTGACTTCTCATAGAATCGGAATCAGCAACCAAACAGCTGGGGGAAATCAGCCTGGTGTGGAAGTAGCCAGGCAACAGGAGGAGGTGATGTGGTACCTCAATTTAGGGTGTTGGTCAAAGGAACAACGTTTCCCTCTGCTTTCTGTGGAGGAACATGTAGATCGCCTGACAAAAGCCCCCCCCCCAGACACCAAGGACCACGGTTCTCCTCCGTCCTCATTTATGCCCACCTGCCATAGTGACCGGAGGTTCTTCTTTGTAGATGGAGTGAGCGAACAACTGGAGCCCTTGAAGGCACCTGCTGAAGGGGTGCTGGCAGCCACAAGCAGAGGTGAGTCGGATGGCGGCATCGGATGAGTCAGTTTGGTGTAGTGGCTGAGAGCGTGGGTTCTAATATGGGAGGACCAGGTTTGAGGCCCCACTTCTCCACGTGCAGCTGCTGGCGTGACTTTGAGTCAGTCACAAGTTTTCTCAGAGCTGTTCTCTCAGGAGCAGTTCTCAAATAAGCTCTCTCAGCCCCACCTACCTGTCTGTTGGGGGCAGGGGTCATTTCGTAGAAAAAGAGGTGCAGGCGCTCATTAGCATAACTCATTAGCATGACTTATTTGCATATGCCACACCCCCTGACATCACCGGAAGTGTGTCAGAAGGCAATACCCACCGCTCAGGCTCCAATGGACTGTTTTGGATTGCTAGCTATGGGGGGGGGGGGGAACGTGCAGATCTGCCCTCACAGAGGAGGGAGAGCTTGTACCTGAATAAAACTTGGTCTTAAAGGTGCCACGTGACTGTTTTGGATTGCCAGCTATGGGGGGCGGGGACACGCAGATCTGCCCTCACAGAGGAGGGAGATCTTATACCTGAAGGTGGGGGGGGGGCTCTGCAACTTGGCTGCTTCTTGCTCTTTGTGGCCCGACTGAGGGCTGCTGGGAGCAGGGGGCGGGGATTGTTGCATGTGTCCGCCCTCTGGGCTCCTTACTGCCCGAGCTCCGCTCCTGTGCGCTCCCACAGGAAATGACCCCTGGTTGTGGGGAGGGGAAGGGAAAGGAGATTGTAAACTGCTCTGAGACTCCTTCAGGTAGTTAAGGGCGGGGTACAAATCCAATCTCCCCCTCCTCTTCCTCTTCTTCTTCCTGGTCAGCTAGCAGAAACAAATTCTTGATTTTTTTTTAATTGCAGTTAAAGATATGGGGGGGACACGGGACATGTGGATTTTCCAGCTGATGGATCTCTGAGCCTCTGTTTTGCAGCCTCAATGATTTCCCCCTCTCTCTTTGCAGGAAGGGAACACCCTCACAAGTCGTTGAAGACCTGGTGGTCTCACCTGAGCCCTTTCAACATGATCATCCTTATTTACCTCTTCTTGTGAGTTGGATATATGTCTTGTGGAGGAGCAGGAGGGAGAGCTTTATTTGCACAGAATGCAGGAAGAGGGGAGCAGTGTTCCCTCTAGGCTGAGTTAAAGTGAGCCAGCTCACAGTTTTTTAGCCTCTAGCTCGCACATTTTGACCCTAGCTCAGGAAGGATGGCTCCAGAGCAAACTAATTGATGCAGGAGCCAAATTGCTTGCTCACAACTTTAATGCCAGTAGCTCACAAAGTAGAATTCTTGCTCACAGGACTCCACAGCTTAGAGGGAGCATTGGAGGGAAGGGAACTTGGGCCCAGTTAGTGCTCTCTCAGTCCACCCAGTCTCATAGAGTTGTTGTGAAGATAAAATAGCAACCTGTGTCATTTGCAGAAAGGTACACGGTAAAACGATGCTCAATAAGAGCCAATTTGATGTCGTGGTTAGGAGCGTGGACTCTAACCTGGGAGAACCGGGTTTGATTCCCCACTCCTCCATATGCAGCTGCTAGTGTGACCGTGGGTCAGTTTCAAGTTCTTTCAGAGCTGTTCTCTAAGGAGCAGTTTGTGTCAGAGCTCTCTCAGCCCCACCTACCTCACAGGGTGTCTGTTGTGGGGAGGGGAAGGGAAAGGAGATTGTAAGCTGCTCTGAGACTCCTTCAGGTACTGAAGGGTGGGGTATAAATCCAATTTCTTCTTCTTCTAATAAGCAAACAGGAAGCAGGGTTGGGGACAAATCTGAGGATTTAAAAAATATTCTGAAAATATCTAGAGCCAGTGTGGAGTTAAGAGAGCTGGCTCTGGATCCGGGAGACTCAGATTCAAAGCTTGCTGCTTGACGTTGGGCCAGTCACACGCTCTTAGCCTAACCCACCTCACAAGGCTGTTGTGAGGATAAAATAGAGAGGAGGAGAACAATGTCAGCAGCTTTGTATTTCCATTAGGGAGAAAGCTGAGAGATAAATGAAGTGAATAAAAATTTTTTTTACTGGGATTGCTAGTGCTTTCCCACAGGCTGAATAATACACTTCCAATCCACTTTCAATGCACTCCACAACTGGATTTTACAGCGTGAAACAGCAAAATCCAGTGGCACACCATCGCTAAAGTGCTTTGAAAGTAGATTGAAAGTATGTTATTCAACATGTGTGAAAGCAACCAGCATCTCAGAGCAGGTGAAGCAGTGTGTGGTTTGTAGAAATGAGTAGTAGCACAGTGTTCAGGGGTGGAGTTGGGGGTCAGCAGCTGCCTGAATACTTGGGCTTTGGAGCTTTTCTACTGTGCAGCAACAGTGATCATAGACTTTACATGGTGGCAGAGGTGGGATGGGGCCCACTCCTTCCCGTGGCATACATCCTGGTGTCACAGAGGTGGGGCTGGCTTCTACTCTTCTTCCCCTGTTCCTCTGCCAGGTAGTAAGAAGTGCCTGCTACGTGCCACGGTGCCATCCCTTGCCCAAGTGGGCAGCAGCAGCCACTGGGAACTGCTGCTGCCAGCCAAAGGGAAAGGGAAGAAGAGACATAAACAGCAAATGCTTGGAGATTCACTTGACCACTCTCTCTGTATGGAGACCATAGTAGGGAGGGGGCCCTCTGAAGACCCACAAGAGAAAAGGGCCAGGAATTCTGTGCATGCTCAGATGCTCCTAGAGCTGTTCGCAAGGCCTTTAGTGCCTTCCTGGGGTTGTTTTTGTGTGTCTAACTGCTTCCTGTCTTGCTCAGAGTGGTGATCCTGCTTCTCTCCTCGGGATACATTGGTCTGCGTATTGTCCAGTTAGAGGAGCAGCTGACCTCAATGGGGGCCTGGCCAGAACTGGACCTGCAGCAGCAGTGAGTCTCCCTACAATCCAGTTACAGTATTTTCTTCCCCTTTCTTTTGTGTCTCAGCTTTTCGTTAGCTCTGGGATCTGCAATGCAACTAAAACCTGACATATATTTAAAATATCTCCATGGGGAGAGAGCAAGCAAAAACTTGCAAGAAACTAAAACGGTGCCAGAATTTTGCTACAAACCGTTATTTTCACATGAACATGTGAAGTTGCCTGATGCTGGATCAGAGCCTTGATCCATCAAGGTCAGGATTGTCTACTCAGGCAGGCAACAAGCTGGTCAGGATCCCAGGCATCTGTCTTTTCAATCACCTCCTACCAGATCCTTTTAACTGGAGATGCCATAGATTCAACCTGGGACCTTCTGCTTCCCAAGCAGATGCTCTACCACTGAGCCACATTGAAAAGAATTAAGGAAAGGTTCCCAATCACCCTAACCTCATAGTTCTGTCCTAGTATTAGAGTGCTACAATGTGGGGGGTCACCTGTCCATGGCGACCATCCCAAGGGCAAGAAATCACTCAAAGTTCACCAGAAAGCTGCCTTCCTGGTTATTGTCTTTCTTCCCTTTCACGAGGACCACGAAGGCTAGAAACTTTTCTCTCTTTATTTAAATTTATGTGCATTTTTAAACCCTACCCTTCCTCCAAAGAGCACAGGGCAACAAATGTGATTTTGCAGTCCTCCATGCAATGTTCCCTCTAAACTATGGAGTCCTTTGAGCAAAAATTCTACTTTGTGAGCTACTGGAATTAAAGTTGTGAGCAGGTGATTTGGCTACTGCGTAAATTAGTATGTTCTGGAGCCATCCTTCCTGAGCTAAGACAAATATGTGTGAGCCAGAGGCTAAAGAACTGTAAGCTAGCTCACACTAACTCAGCTTAGAGGGAACACTGCCTCCATGTTATCCTTACCACACCCCTGTGAGGTTGACCCAAATCACCTGGGGCAGTTTAGGCTGGACCTCCCTGCTCCTGGCCCAAACATACACCACAATTCGTGATGCCAGACTCCAGATGGGGCCTAGAGTTCTCCCAGAATCTTGACTGATCTCCAGACGACAGAGATCAGTTACCCTGGAGAAACTGACAGCTTCGGCGGGTGGACACTATGAAATCGCACCCCACTGAGGCCCCTCCCCAGGCTGCAAACCCAAATCTCCAGGCAATTCCCAACCTGGAGCTGGCAACCTTGTTTCCCTGCCCCCCACTGGTGGACAGGAGGGGACCTGGCAACCCCACGACCACGTGGATCAGACCCATATTCTCTCCCGCACAGAGACCTTGACTACCACCTTCCCCATTTCTTGCCATGTTTACATAAATTTGGTAGGGGGGTGTCTTGTTTTGTAAGAAGCCTGTAACCAAGTTGGAGATTATCACAGCCGAGCTGAAGGGCACTGACCGTCACACCCCACAGAGAAATTCCATTATCCCAGGATGGGAACGTTTATCCGAGTATCGATTCACTGTGGAACCCCGTTCAGCAAACCCACACACCCCTTTTTTTTAGCATATGTCTTTTCTTTCTTGGCATAACTCTCTCCTTCTCCTCCCCTCCTGTAACCTCAATGCTGAGCCTTGCTTTATTTGAGGGAGCATCACAGCAGAAGAATGCCGGGGGTGGATGTCGTAACCCTTGGCTTAACTATTTCATCACTGTCTTGGTGACTGACGATGAGTCCCTTTTGGATAATGGATAATTATCCATTATCCATTTTGGCCCTTGAGAGGCTGTCTGGTTATAGTGGTTAGAATGTGGGGCTAAGGTGACCTGGGTGCAGATCCCCTCTTGGCTGTGGAGTTTGCTGAATGATTTTGGGCCAGTCACTAAGAACATCAGAAGAGCCTTGCTGGATCAGACCAGTGAGGGTCCATCTAGTCCAGCATCCTGTCTCACACTGTGGCCGAGTTCCTCTGGAGGGCCAGCAACAGGGCAGAGAGGCCGAGGCCTTCCCTGATAAGAACATCCGAAGAGCCCTGCAGGATCAGACCAGTGAGGGTCCATCTAGTCCCTGCTGTGGCCAACCAGTTGTTCTGGAGGACCACCAGAAGGACATAGAGGCTGAGGCCTTCATAAGAACCTAAGAAGAGCCCTGCTGGATTAGACCAGTGGTCCATCTAGTCCAGCATCCTGTCTCACACAGTGGCCAACCAGTTCCTCTGGAGGGCCAACAACAAGGCAGAGAGGCTGAGGCCTTCATAAGAACATAAGAAGAGCCTTGCTGGATCAGACAGTGGTCCATCTAGTCCAGCATCCTGTCTCACACAGTGGCCAACCAGTTCCTCTGGAGGGCCAACAACAGGGCAGAGAGGCCGAGGCCTTCCCCTGATAAGAACATAAGAAGAGCCCTGCTGCATCAGACCAGTGGTCCATCTAGTCCTGCATCCTGTTTCACACAGTGGTCAACCAGTTCTTCTGGAGGGCCAACAACAGGGCAGAGAGGCTGAGGCCTTCGTAAGAACATAAGAAGAGCCCTGCTGGATCAGACCAGTGGTCCATCTAGTCCAGCATCCTGTTTCACACAGTGTCCAACCAGTTCTTCTGGAGGGCCAGCAACAGGGCATAGAGGCTGAGGCCTTCCCTGATGTTGCCTCCTGGCTCTGGGATTCAGAGGTTCGGTGCCTCTGAATGTGGAGGTTCCCTTCAGTCCCCATGGCTAGTATCCATTGACAGACTTCTCCTCCATGAATCTGTCTAATCCCCTAATCCACTCTTGGCCTAGCCTACCTCACAAGGTGGTTGTGAGTATGTAATAGAAGGGAGGATCACACATGTCCTGCTGAGCTCTGCTAGATAATTTTGGGCCAGTCCCCCCTTGGCCTAGCCTACCTTGCAGGGTGGCTGTGTGTATATAACAGAAGAAGGAAGGATCACATCATGTCCTGATGAACACCTTGAGAGAAGGGCAGGGTAAAAGTGTGATTGGTCCCTCTACCTTGCTAAGCCTGATGATCTTTTCTTTACTGACAGGTACAAAGCAAGCTGAGGTAGGCTGGATCCGGCCCCACTGGGGTCTTTGCATGAACCTTCTGCAGCTATTGTCTTTCCTGCTGGTCGGATCTTTAAGAGAACAGTTTGGGGGCTCCATCCCCCCAAAAAATCTCAGTTTGTGCCAGAAACGTCATAAGTTTCGTTAGAAGCACGACTTTAACATCCTGGTGAGACAAGACCAATGTTTCCTTTTGAGAAGGGCTTAAGGGACCCTTTCAGCACTCACCGGCACTCTGAAGTCTTTTTTCTCGTGGCCAGCAGAGGAAACTCACCTCCCAAGGATAGAGGGAGGAGAACACGAAGAACAACTGAAAAGTGGATATTTTTTGTGTTAAACCACAGACTGGTGGAGGGCTCTTGTTTGGATTAGGAGCGACCTGCAGCACCTACTTGCCACATTGGGGCAAAACGTCCAGATCCTGAAATTGGCATCAACACCACTCTTTTGGCTAGTACAAATATTTCTTCTTTTGCAGAGAGTTTTTCATTATTAATCGTCGGGAATTCTTCCAGAGCCCAAACAAAACCTACCCATTACAGCCGGGGGGGCCAACTCATTTGTTATGAGGGCCGGATCTGACATAAATGAGACCTTGTTGGGCCGGGCCATGTGTGTCATAAAAGGTAATGCCAGGTAGCGGAGATATCAACTTTATAAAGGACACAAACACAATGAAAGGTGTTTTTTTTACTTAAAATAAAAACATGCTTAAAACATTCACACTCTTGCAATATTTTGTTTGTTTAACCGTGTCTGATGCTTTTGCAATCTTGAGTATGCTGTTCAGGTGTGTATCTGTAAGCTGCAAACCTATAATGATGCAGCAGCAGCAGAACTGGAAGAAAAAGCAGAAGACAGCCAGTTCCACTGTGGGCCTGATAGAATGCCTCCGGGGGGGGGGCCTCATCTGGCCCCCGGGCCGCATGTTTGACACCCCTACATTACAGTTTGGAAGGAGCTGTTCCCAAAGTTTTGGAAAGCCCATCCTCCCAAATGGCGGCAATTGGATCAATTTTACTAAAATACCCATAAGAGCTAAGAGTGGAGCCTCTCTGTTCAAAGGCAGTCTACAGTGGGAGCAAGAGGCGGAGGCTGGTTCCTTCTGACCTTGCTGCTCGCTTTCCCAAGACAGGGGCCTGGCCCTTGTTGCGATTGTGATTATTGTGCGATCTGGCAAACAGGCCTATTTTTGACACACTGCAGCTGTGAGACTTGGCCAGACCCTACAGAAGAGGGACAATGTTTTGAAACAGGGAAGCATGGGGTTTGCTTTCCCTGGCAGCAAGAGGGTGGGGAGTGGACTGATTGTGTTTACTTGTATTAAATCCAGTCCCAACCCTATTTGGAAGATTAAAATCTAGCAATTTATATTGCAAAACGGAACGTCTGCTTTGGTGTGCCAGCTGGAATGGAGGCAGATTTCCTTGGGGTAGCGCCACAACCTCTTGCAGGTGCACGAAAGACAAAGTGCTGTATTTCGGACCAGCAAACCGCAGTCTGGTATACCCCCCCCCCAACCTCCACAAAGAAGAAGAGTTGATTTTTATACCCCACCCTTCACTACCCGAAGGAGTCTCAGAGCGGCTTACAGTCGCCTTCCCTTCCCCTCCCCACAACAGACACCCTGTGAGCAGTGTTCCCTCTAAGCTGAGTTAGTGTGAGCTAGCTGACAGTTTTCTAGCCTCCGGCTCACACATTTTTGTCTTCGCTCAGGAAGGATGGCTCCAAAGCAAACTGATTTATGCAGTTTCCAAATCGCTTGCTCACAACTTTAATGGTAGTAGCTCACAAAGTAGAATTTTTGCTCACAAGACTCCACAGCTTAGAGGGATCATTGCCTGTGAGTAACGCTCCCTCTAAGCTGTGGAGTCTTGTGAGCAAAAATTCTATTTTGTGAGCTCCTGGCATTAAAGTTGTGAGCAAGCGATTTGGCGACTGCATAAATTAGTTTGCTCTGGAGCCATCCTTCCTGAGCTATGACAAAAATGCGTGAGCCGGAGGTTAAAAAACTGAGCTAGCTCACACTAACTCAGCTTAGAGGGAACACTGCCTGTGAGGTAGGTGGGGCTGAGAGAGCTCTGGGAGGAGGAGGAGGAGGAGGAGAAGAGATTAGATTTATACCCCACCCTTCACTACTCAAAGGAATCTCAGAGCAGTTTACAATCTCCTTTCCCTTTCGCTCCCCACAAATGACACCCTGTGAGGTACGTGGGGCTGGAAGAGCTCTTTTGAGGACTGCTCTTGAGAGAACAGCTCTGGAAAAACTTGTAGAAACAACAGAGAGATCACGGGAAGGATGCAAGCAATGACGAAAACAACCATGATGCAGTATTATTGTTGAAGAAACACTACTCGCGGCAAAATAGCAGTCTAAATATATTTTCATAATACTACATCACTGTTGTTTTCATCACTGAAAGAACTTGTGACTGACCCAAGGTCATACCAGCAGCTGTACGAGGAGGAGGTGTGGGGAATCAAACCTGGTTCTCCCAGATTAGATTCTGTCGCTCTTAACCACTAAATCATGTTGACTTCTACAAACATCTCTCCTTATATATAATTGTCACTTGGGGTGGCAAGATTCGATGTGTGGCAAAATCAGTTCGCTCCCTGCTGTGTCACTCACCCCGAGTCCGTATCCATTGCCTGCCTGCTTCCCGTAGTTCTGCCCACACAGCCTCTGACCACACTCTTCCCCTGACTCTCCAGGGAGCCATCCAACGGTATGGACGCTCCAGTGGCTGCTCCTGCGGAGAGGCAAGAGGACGGCCCCGCCTGGCCTTGCCGTGGCCTGCTTGCACCCTCCGGCCCGAACCACCATGGCCGGTGCCACCGACATCACCTTTCCCCTTGCCAGCCTCCGTACGCCGCCTGCTCATCTCTCCCTCTGCTGCGCTCGCCCTGGCCATGACAGCGGCACCAGGAGGAGGAGTCTGAAGTGAAGGAACATGGGGAGGGGCGTCCCCTGCAGTCTCCACGAAGCTGTTGGGTGCCATGGATGCTCCGGCAGACACTCACAAAGGGAGGCAGGAGGACGGTCCCGCCTGGCCTTGCCGCAGTCTGGCCCCCCCCTCCCGGCCCAGCCCGAGCCGCACTGGCCTGCGCCACCGATGCCGCCTTCTCACCTGCGGCAGCCTCCCTCCACGGCTTGCTTGCCCCTCCCTCGGTGTCAGCCATGACACCAGCAGCACGAGGGCGGCTCTGAGGTGAAGGCCCGCGGAGAGAGATGGTGGGCAGCCAGGAGGGAGGGAGGCGGCCAGCACAGCGGCTACCCCAGACACAGCACACTCCAGCCGGGGACATGAACGACAGCACGAGGCCGTCAGGACGGGCAGGCGCCGCTGATGGCGGGGGAGAGGGTTGGGGGCCTGGAGGGAGACAGTGGAGGGGAGACCATCAGGTCCCTGAGTGGACAAAGTTCAGGATAAGCTTTCATGGGCCTCAGGGGCGGACCACAAGCCGACTCACTCGACAGGGGAGGGAAACACTGCCGGCCCGGCCTGTCGCACCTCAACAACAGGCTCTCGGAAGGGAGCAGAAAGCGGGGGGGGGGAGCTCTGTCTGCTCAGAGACAGCCCGCCCACAGAACTGCTGCCGGCCCGTCCCCTTGCCCCGCCACTCATGGCGTCTGGGGAGCGGGAAGAAAGCGGCGGGCCGGGGAGAGGAAAGGCCCCACGTCTAGCTACAGCTCGTTGTCTCGCTTCCACAACAGGCTTTGTTTGACGCACTCCCGCGCCACTCATGGCGTCTGGGGAGCGGGAAGAAAGCGGCGGGCCGGGGAGAGGAAAGGCCCCACGTCTAGCTACAGCTCGTTGTCTCGCTTCCACAACAGGCTTTGTTCCTAGTAAGAACATAAGACAGACTGTCAAAACATTTTTAAATTGCAGAATTTCTGTGCCCAGGTTGCAGAATTATAACCAGTCCTTATGACAGAGAATGGGGAGGCATCCTTCCTCTCGCACTGGGCTTCCCAGTCTGCAGGCTATGCCGCCATCAGCCAGCCACACAGCAGGCCCCAGAGTGCTCGTGTTCACCGTTGGCTGTGTCTGTGGGTCCAGTGAGTGCGTGCTTCCCTATCCCTGTACACATCACACACACTGGGTGTGTTCAGACGGGGCATTTGCAACGGTATAGGTGCCGGTTGGAATGCAAGAAAAATCCCATAAGAGTTGTAACCCTAACCCAGTTTCCCAGGAGGAGGAGTTGCAGATCTCTAAATAGCAACCTTTTTCTTCATGTGAGCCCCAACTCCTGCCAAGCCTGCGCTGGCAGGAGAGGGCTGATTTGCCTCCTCGTGAGGCAGGAAAAGAAGGGCACCGGTGCTGCGAGAAGCGCAGCGCCAGGCAGGGGGCGGAGCCAGCCTATTTAGGCTCGGTTCTCACCCTGCCTCAGCAGTTCTTCGATGTGCTCGGCTGGTGAGGAGATTCGAGCATGATGGAAGAGCTCTGAGCCTACCTTTGAGCCTTGTCCTCAGGCGACAGCAGCTGCGGGAAGCTCTCCCAGGAGGAGGAGCCAACCACAACATGGCTGCCCCAGGAGGAGGAGGAGCCAATCACAAAATGGCTGCTGCAAGAGGAGGAGCCAACCACAAAATGGCTGCCCTGGGAGGCGGAGCCAAACAAATAGTGCCAGCCCAAGTGCGGGGGAGAAGAAGGGTATTTAAAAATACACTGGAAAAGAGGAGTGAGAGAGAATAAAGCCAATACTTGGTGGGAACTGCCACTGAAACAATGTTATTGTAGTCTTCATATCCAACCAGATCTCCAGTGGCGAATCAGAAGCCCTGCTGGGTGAGAGCCCAACCCACTTCCTTAAAAACATTTGGTGGGCACCAAGAAAGCTTCTGGGGGCCCCATGGTGCCTTCATGCAGCACGTTGGGGACCCCTGGATTAGGGTCTGTTGCCCGGTATCAGTGCATGCTGGTTGCAGGATTTTTGTAAAAGATACCAATCAAAGTACACATGCAGGAAGAGAACAGAGTTTGAGTCCAGGGCCACCTTCAAAACCAGCAGAGTTTTATTCTGGCTATAAGGTTTTGTGTGCATGCACATTTCTTATACCTCCTTATAACCTGAATAAAACTTTGTTGGTCCTTAAAAAGGATATTATAGCTTTGGGAAAAGTGCAGAAAAGGGCAACTCGAATGATAAAAGGGTTGGAACACTTCCCCTATGAGGAAAGGTTAAAGGGCGTAGGGCTGTTTAGCTTGGAGAAACGACAACTGAGGGGTGACATGATCGAGGTTTATAAGATTATGCATGGGATAGAGCAGGTAGAGAAAGAGGTACTTTTCTCCCTTTCTCACAATGCAAGAACTCGTGGGCACTCCGTGAAACTGCTGAGCGGTCGGGTTAGAACGGATAAAAGGAAGTCCTTCTTCACCCAAAGAGTGATGAACACATGGAATTCACTGCCACGGGAGGTGGTGGCAGCTACAAGCATGGAGGGCTTCAAGAGGGAATTAGATAAGCATACGGAGCAGAGGTCCATCAGTGGCTATTAGCCACAAGATATAGATAGGGACTCTGGGGCAAGTGATGCTCTGTCTTCTTGGTGGTTGGGGGGGTCAATAGTGGGAGGGCTTCTAATGTCCT